GACTCCTCACGCCCAGGCTCAGCACCTCCAGTCTCCGCACCCCCAGGCTCCGCAACCCCAGGCTCAGCACCCCCAGGCTCCGCACCCCCAGGCTCAGCACCCCCAGAAGCAGCACCCCGAGCAGGACCACCCTCAGCAGGACCTGAGTCACCAGTGACCTCAACCGGCGCAGTCAAGGGAGGAGGGTCTACCTGAGACACACCTGAAGGAGCAGGACCGGGAGCGGGGAGGGGGTCTACCTGGGGAGCACCTGGAGCGAGGAAGAGCGGCGGGGAGGGGGGGGAGAGGTGCAGTGCGGTAGGGGAAGAGACGGTAAAAGGGAACCGACTCGTCGAACGTGACGTCCTGAGAGGGGAAGACACAGTGCGAGGTGGGGTGGTAAAACTGCCAACCAGGCGCGTCACGGACAAAGCCAAGGAAGACACAGGGAACAGCGCGGGCGGAGAGCTTGTCCGCGGTGGTATCGCGGACAAAGGCACGAGCACCCCAGACCCGGAAACGCGACGCATCGCCAACCTTCCCCGTCCACAGCAGTGTGGGCGAGGTTTCCGGCAAGGAGACACGGAGCCAGAGGTTGAGCTGATGCGCGGCGTACCGGACCGCAAACGGCCACAGAAAATGGGGGGCAGCCGCATGGATCAAAGAGGTACGAGCGACCTCCATGACTAAGCCAATGCGACGCTCAGCAACCCCATTCTGCTGCGGAGAGGCCGGAAGCGTGAACATCTCGCGGATGCCGTGCTCCGCACAGAAGGCTGCCAAGAGGTCGGAGGAAAACTCCCCACCTCTGTCAGAGTGCAGACGCAGGACGGGAAACTCCGTCCCGAACCGCTCGCGGAGCTGGAGACGAGCAGCGCGGATCCAAGGGATCAAAACATCAGGGACCTCACCCTTGGTGCGCAAGGGGAAGACCGTGGTGTAACGCGTGTAGTCGTCGACGACCAGCAGGAAGTATCGCTCGTGGCCCTATCCACGGACGCGGGCTGGGCCCCACACGTCCAGGTGGAGAGTCTGCAGGGGAGCCTCTGTGGGAGGGAACGAGGAGGAGTGAGGAGCGGCGCGCTGCCGCCCCTCGACACAGGGAAGACAGGGAGGAGCAAGCGAGGGTGGGAAGGGAGGGAGAACCCTGGGAAGACCAAAGACAAGGACACGGCGGTGCATGCTACGAAGGCGCTGCACTGAGGGGTGACCAAGGCGGTGGTGCCAAAGGAGGGTCTGGTGCGACAAAGCGCGACACGAGCAGGGGGGCGCTAGCTGACCTGACGCAGACGTAGACGCAGCAACCTGAGGGGACACAGTAGTCAGTGTGTACAAACTCGAGCCAGGCGCACGGGTAAACGTGGCCAGGTGCCGGCCCGTCCGGGAGCACGTACAGTGGGTCACGCGCTGACCTCCAGGAGTGAACTGGTCAACCCACTGGTCCTGGAGGTCAGCACCACTCACCAAGTTCGTAGAGAACGAGGGGAGGTGAAGACCTGACAGGGAGCCAGACGGGACCGCCGGACACGGCAGGACCGTGGAGGAGTGCGCAAGGACTGGACCCCCAGAGGGGTCTTCCAGGGAGACTGGAACCGGCCGGCTGAGCGGCGTGAGGGTGGTGCTGTCGCGAAAGAAGGAGCGAGAAGCACCTGAGTCAAGTGTGAAGGTGTACAAGGCCTCAGCAGGCGCAGTACCAGAGAGAGCAGACTCACCAGCACCTGGAGCAGCAGCCTCACCAGCACCCAGAGCAGGAGACGCACTAGCACCTAGAGCAGCAGCCTCACCAGCACTGAGAGCAGCAGGCTCTATACCTGGGTCAGGCGGTACGCACAGGTAACAGGCACGGTCAGCACTAGTTTGCAATGCATACATGGCAGTGAGAATAGCATCATAGTCAAGAGCAAAGATATCTACCCTCTCCCCAAGCAGCTCCACCCAGTCGGGGAGCTCAGCCTCGTCGCCAAACTCGGTACGCCAGGCGTCGCTCAGACGGGCGAAGCAGCGGGACTGGGTGTGACTAAGCGTCCCGCAAGTCTGACCCGTCCGATCACCTGTCCGAATGACGTACGGGCAGCGAACGGTACTCAAAGACCCTCTACTCTGAGCGTACCACTCGTGAAGCTGCCGGGACGTAAGTGTCTCGCGTGGACGCCGCTGCAGCTGCAGCTGGCCACTGCCAGACGCTCCCAACTGACCAGCTCCAGGGCAACAGCTATGACGGCTACCGCCACAACACCAACTAGCGTACCACTCACGAAGCTGCTGGGGCGTGAAAGACTCGCGCGGACGTCGCTGGAGCTGCATCTGGCCACCGCCAGTAGCAGCAGTAGCAGACGCAGTAGCCTAGCAGTAGTAACGGAAGTAGCAGCAGTAGCAGCGCGAGCAGGGCAGGCGCGGCAGGAAGGCAGGCAGGCAGGCAGGCAGACAGGCAGGCAGGCAGGCAGGCTGGCGGGCAGGCAGGCAGGCAGATGGCGCGGCTGCGCGCTAACAAGGCAGGTGCTCACCAGTGGCGGGAAGAGCAGGCGCTCGCCAGGCGAGCAGGGCCGGCGCTCGGCGGGCGGCTGCACGGGATCCAGGGGCGGCGTCGCGGGTCCAGGGGCGGCGTCGCGGGATCCAGGGGCGGCTGCACGGAGTCCAGGGGCGGCTGCACCAGGGGCGGATGCTTCAGGGGCCAGGTGCGGCTGCTCTTGGTCCAGGGGCGGCTGCACCAGGGGCGGCTGCTTCAGGGGCCAGGGGCGGCTGCTCTTGGTCCATGGGCGGCTGCACCAGGGGCGGCTGCTTCAGGGGCCAGGGGCGGCTGCTCTGGGTCCAGGGGCGGCTGCTCGAGGGTCCAGGGGCAGCTGCACCAGGGGCGGCTGCTTCAGGGGCCAGGGGCGGCTGCTCTGGGTCCAGGGGCGGCTGCACCAGGGGCGGCTGCTCGGGGTCCAAGGGCGGCTGCTCCAGGGGCGGCTGCTGCAGGGGCCAGGGGCGGCTGGTCTGGGTCCAGGGGCGGCTGCTCGAGGGTCCAGGGGCTGCTGCACCAGGGGCGGCTGCTTTAGGGGCCAGGGGCGGCTGCTCTGGGTCCAGGGGCGGCTGCTCGAGGGTCCAGGGGCGGCTGCACCAGGGGTGGCGTAGCTGGTGCAGGGCAGCGCGCGGGTCCCACAGGCGCCGCGACTGGCGACGGGGGGCAGCGCGCAGGCCAGGCGGGTCCGCGTCGGCGGCAGGGTGGGGCCGCGACAGCGGCAGGGCGGGGCCGCGTCGGCGGCCGTAGAAAGCAGCGCGAGGGCTGCGAAGCGACGCGTGGGGCAGGAGAAGGCAGCGCGGGGGCTGCGGGGCGGTGCGCGGGCCTGACAAGGCAGCTAGCGGGCTACGCGCTGGGCTGACGAGGCAGCAGGCGGGCTGCTAGCGGGCTGTACGAGGGCCAGCAGAGGCGAGCGCGAGGGCTGCGCGACGCAGGGCAGTGTAGGCAAGGGGCAGGGTAACTCGGTAACCGGCGGAAAACGGTTGGTGGGCCCTGAAAAACAGTCCTACAACGGTCCTAAGGACCTATGTTGCTCTTAATACCATGTCGAGAGTAAAGGTGGTTGCACTATCGAGAAAGCTGGGTTCAAGTAGCAAAAAACTATACCCCACATTAGCTACCCCACTAAAGCCTACATTCTATTATGACAAAGACATATAATTTGACACCTGCTTCTTACCGGCGGGATTTTTAGCCGGAACTATACGGTACGTCCCACGTCGGAGAAACTAGTTGGAAGGCCATGTGTCCAGGATTTCCACTTTGGTCCTGATATTCGCAGGCTCTAGGACTTTCTAGGGTAGTCCTATGAGAAATGAAACAGCAAAGGGGACGCGAGCTAGGGACAGCCGCAGTGAGTGAGTAAACGGAATTACCACCATTCAGTCTCCAACACCGGGGACAATGACAAGCTCCAGTCGCTTGTCAGAATCCCAACCACTAACCACTGGGATAAAAGGGCTTGTTTTGTGTAGCGGGTGAGTGCGCCCATAACCTCCCAGGCCAACGTGCATGTAACCCTTCCCTGGAATAAATCGGGGATCACCAGTGGACCTTTGACATCGCTTTGTGTGGCCCATGAGTGGGATCACTTCCATCGCCCCGCTCTGCTCCAGAAGGTCCACAAATCGAAAAGAGTGCATCCGCAGGGAGAGATCACGTTGGGCTTTGGTGGGCTCCCCTCTTGGGCCACACAAAGCGATGACAGAGTCTTTTCGACCTCTGAGTCGTGTATATTGGGTTCATCTTGATTCGGGTTTACTCTACTACTCTCTCCCCATTCCCTCCCCTTTTTTCCCCCTCTTCCTCGCGGCAGGCCACCGAAGCACCGCATCCAGCAGATCTTCGACTTCATCTGCCCCAAGGCGAGCTGGCGGAGCTGTGAGGCAGCCTCCTCTCGAGACTGCCTTCAGCCCCCTGCTGCCCCCTCTTGTACCTACACTGTTGCTGCACCATTGTCTCCCTCCCCCTTTCGCATCAAAAGGTTAACCCAAACAAAAACGTACATACTCCAACCTTTTTGAAGGCTGGTTAAATCAGTCTAAAAAATCGTACATACACTGATGAGAAAGGTTTTTTTCTGGTGACAACACTGATTTTTCAGGGTTTTTTTTTTTCTGAAGGACCTTGATAGAAAGTTTTTTTTTTTTTGGACCAACAATGACGAAAAAACGTGGCCCAAAACGAATCTAAGGCCCTGCCCGGGAAGCATGGGAGATACGGGAGGCATGGGAGGTATGGAAGGAGTGGGAGGGATGCGAAGGATGGGAGGCGTGGGAGGGATGCGAGGGATGGGAGGCGTGGGAGGCGTGGGAGGGATTGGAGGGAGACGAATTTACGGTACACAATTAGAAGATGCAAAAAGGGCAGCAAAACTCAACAATTTTCTTCACAAAAGAGCTCCTTGTGCAGAGCCTCCAATTCAGCAAGCACCTTGATCATGTTGGGGCGCAGGGGCAGTGGGCATGGCGGTGCCACAACACTCCTCATCACTACCTCCCTACCCCCCTCCCTCACTCACTCACTCACTCCGTTCCCCACTCACTCCACCTCCACTCGACCCTATCCTAATCGCGTTCGCCACCTCCTCTTCCAAGTCATGCCCATGCGTGTCGTCAATCTCCCGGTCAATCCTCCTCGCCATCTGATCCCCTGTCGCACCGCGCACCTCCTCGCGCAGAGCCTCCAATTCAGCAAGCACTTTGATCATGTTGGGGCGGAGGACAGTGGGCATGGCGGTGCAGCTGAGAGCCAGGCGTGCCAGGCGCAGGATCATGTCTGGCGGGGCTTCCAAAGAGGGGTCCTTGAAGGTCACTCCGTCGTTGGCTGCTATGAATGGTGCCACCTGGTGGGGGGAGGGGTGGGAGGTGGAGGGGGGAGGTGAAGGGAGAGGAGACGAGGGCGTGATGGTGGGGAAGATGCATGGGGATGGGTGCCAGGTGCAGGATGACGTCTGGTGGGGCGTCTAGAGCTGGGTCCTTGAAGGTCACCCCATATTTGGCTGCTGTGAATGGTCACCCCACCTGGTGGGGGCAAGGTGGGAGGCGGAGAGGGAGAGGAGGGAGGGGAGGAGGGCGAAGGGGAGGAGGGATGACGGTGAAGAGATTGATTGCACTTTGTGCGATGAGGTGGATAAAGGACGCGCGGGGATGAGTGTGTGATGGTGTAGGTGCGGGTGTGCACATGCATGCACACAGAGAGATGGGGAACAGCGAATGCTAGTGCATGGGCATGGGCAACGAGATGAGCATCATGAGCATGGCATGACCACAGCAAGAGTAGCATGAGCATGGGCATGTGCAGGAGGAGCAGGAGCAGGGAGGCGAGGGCGGGAGGGCACGGACCCATTGCTTGAGGTTGATCTGGTTGTCCTCCGAGTTGTAGATGGCCTTGCGTGCCGTCAGGATCGTGAGCATCACCACTCCAAAGCTATGAGGGGCAAGGGAGGCATGGGAGGTACGGGAGGTATGGGAGGCACGACAGGAGAGAGACCAAGGGCGGGATATGATGAGGGGATGGAAGAGCACAGCAGGTAGTGCAAGAAGGGAGCACATGGGAACATTAAGGAATAGAAGAAATTTGCTAAAATACACCACACCTGCACACGTCACCCTTAACTGCACGCATTGCCCATACCTGTGAACGTCAGCCATAGGAGTGGCCTTCTGAGACTTGAAATACGCCGGGTCCACATAGCCCGGTGTGCCCATCACCCGCGTGGCTCCCACGGTCGTGCCCTCGCCCATCCTCACCAGCCCAAAGTCTGCTACCTTTGCCTGCCGTGGACGGTACAGGCAGCCAACAAAGAGGAAGCAATGAGAGACGGACTCTTTTTGATATATTTGCTGCATAGGAGCCTCGTGCAGCACATGCGAGTGCCTTGTGCACCTGCATGAACCTGAAGTGCTGACTGGAGGTGCTGACTGGAGGTGCTGACTAGAGGTGGTGACTGGAGGTGCTGACTGGAGGAGGTGCTGATTGGAGGTGCTGACTGGAGGTGCTGACTAGAGGTGTTGACTGGAGGTGCTGACTGGAGGTGCTGACTGGAGGTGCTAACTGGAGGTGCTGACTGGAGGTGCTGACTGGAGGTGCTGACTGGAGGTGCTGACTGGAGGTGCTGACTGGAGGTGCTGACTGGAGGTGCCCAGGCAGGCACTACTCTACATAGCCGTATCTTTATGCAAACACTCACTCACCTGCATGTTCCTATCAATGAGGATGTTGGCAGGCTTGATGTCGCGATGCACGATGCCAAAGCTGTGCAGATACTGCAACCCCTCCGCCACTCCGATCATCACATCCACGCGCTGCAGCAGAGAGAGCGGCTGGGTGGCACCTGCAGCAGGGGGAACGGGACACAATGTGACACAACAAAAATGACACAATGGGCTGGGAGTCATTACCCAAATAAGCGAGCCTCACGAAAACACCAAATTATCACACGGGAGAAAACCGAGCATGCGCTTGTGTGCAAGTAAGGAGGACAAGTGAGGACAAGCGAGGGAGCACAAGAGAGGACATGGTAAGCGAGTAACACACCGGGGCCAAGCCAGCGCTCGAGGTCGCCATTGGGCATGAACTCGTAGATGAGGATCTGTTCCGTCTGCTCTGTGGCCTCATTCACGTCTATGCAGAACCCCAGCAGCCGCACCAGGTGTGGGTGGTGCTTCGATGCCATCTCGTTCACCTGCATGTTCCCACGCAGGGCGGATGACAAGGGGGGGGGCGAGGGAGGAGGGAGGAGCGGGAGCGGGAGAAGGAGGCGTGGAGACAGAACAGTACCAATGCCACAGAAACTGCAATTGCGATAATCTATGAGCACAATAATTGCGATAAGAAGGCAACGTCTGTTAGAGATAGGCTGTCAACACTTTGTGTACTATATTCTATATCGAGTAGGTTATTTGTAGGTTGGGTGTAGTTTGTGATCCCAACCCTATCTGGTTGGGATTCCCTCGTAATCCTGCAAATCTACCAACTCACCATTGAAGATTTGCCTAGGATTCCCATTCCATCCTTTCCCTAGCTTTGCTCAACCCATCCTTGTTTGTACTTAAGGCTTAGTGCTTTTCTCCCTAATTAATCAGTTCAGATTCAATTCTATTATGGTATTGGGCTAGTAAATTCCGCTCACGCGGAATCCGATCCTTGGCGTCACGATGGTTCTCTTCCTCTAGGCTATGCCTATATCGGCTCCCGGCTTCTATGCTTAGCGTTTTCTAACTTCACATCGTCGCGCAGGTGAAGAGCGCATTCGCCTTCCTTCATCCCGCATTTCGGTTTTCAACGGCGACAAATTCCGCCTTCAACTTCCTTCGTCGTAAGCTTCTGGAATTTAAAATCTTCGTGGCAAATTACTCAATTTCTTAACTTCGAACAGGTTTCAGGGGCGCAGCCGAACAGGTTTCAGCGGCGCATCCGAACAGGATTCAGCGGCGCAGCAGAACAGGTTTCAGCAGCGCAGCAGAACAGGTCAGCGGCGCAACAGAACAAGTTCAGCGGCGCAGCAAAACAGGTCAGCGGCGCAGCAGAACAGGTCAGCGGCGCAGCAGAACAGGCCAGCGGCGCAACAGAGAAGCGGAAAAGGGGCAGCGGCGAAGCAGAACAGGGGGCATCGGCGAAGCAGAACAGGGGGCATCGGCGGAGCAGAGTAGCAGATCAGAATCCGGGCTTTCTATCGCCGAAATCGCGTTTCGAACTTCCTTGATTTCCAAAATCGTATCGGAGACTTTAGCGCTGTGCTCCGCGCGAATGGCAACTTTAACTTCCACCATCGTCGGAAATCTCATCGTTCTCAATCTCGCTCCCAACGGCACGAGCACCAACTTCGGGGAATGGTGATATGGAGTGGAGAAGCACCTCCCTAGCACGGAACTGAAGGGGATTTGCCTCAAGGACATCCTCCTCAACCACGGCCAAGGAAAGATGCCTCTCCCTCCCGATCCTCTTGGCAAAGGAGCCACTGCCGCAGCCAAGACCGCTTTTGAGGCTAAGACCACCAAGTATGAGACCGACTTTAGTGTGCGCGAGCAGGCGGATGCGGCAGTTATTAGGGTTTTCATCACCACCACTCTGGTTGAACTTGTAAAATCCTACCGCACCTTTCGCTCCGCTCATGAGACTTGGAAATACCTTCAGGACCGTTTCCATGACAAGACCGCAGTGGGAGTTGCAATCCTCATCCTTCGAATGTTCCAGATCCGCCTTGAAGAATGCCCGAGCATGGCGGACTTCATTTCTGAAATTCGTAACATCCACGAAGAACTAAAGGACATCGGGATCACCTTCCCCGAAAGGCACCTGCAGCTGGGCTACTCGTAGGTCTTACCACGGCCTACAATGTCACCAGTTCTATGCTTAAGCAGCTCCCCACCAAGGAACTCACTTTCGAGAAAGTCGCATCGGCCTTTCTTTCTGCTGAAGAAGACATCGCAGCCCAAGCATCCGTCAATGCTGTGTGCTATGCCCCTCGTATCCCATTCCGATCCCAGCAAGGACCAAGGCACAACTCGTTTCCCCCATGCCCCTACATCATTAGGAGATGTCCACGTGCAGGGCAGAAATGCGGGACCACCAATCACCCTGAGGCAACTTGCTTCAAGAAGCGAGATGACGAGTGGTATGACATCAACGGTGTCTCCACCAAAAAGCGTCCTCCCAACTGGCCCCACCCCGTCGCGTGAACCAGGTCAAGGAAGTGGAGGAATCTGCTCAGGCAGTTGCTAGCGCCCCTTCTGATGTTCGTTTCACTGTTGTTCTCTGGTGCTGGTATTATTAATGAGAAGGGGTCCCAGTACATCGGTGTTTCAAACACACAGGGGGTCGAGTTCATACTAGACAGTGGTGCCACCCACACAGTGCTCAAAGACCAAACCGCTTTCGTTCTCTACCAAGCTCCCACCCCACTCCTTGAAACCGATTCAAGCTTCTCCATCCAATGCCATGGGTCCTCCACAGTTCCTTGTCCTACCTTTCCATCCGGCACAGTCACTAGCATGTGTCCGAAACCTCCTTGCACAGCGTGAAATCCAACATGCAGGGGTGATCACCATATTTTCCAATGATGTTGACTACTGTGATCTATTTGACGCCAAAACCCACATCCATCTTGCCCGCTTCACCCTAAGTTCCAACAACCTCTGCACACTCGTTATACCTCCCATTCAAACATGCTCGCTCACCAACCTTCCGCTCCCTTCTTCCGACTCCTCCACCTGTCACTGCCATCTCCTTTCTGACAAAACTATGCTATTTCATCATCGCCTCGGCCACATCAACCGCGCACTTTCAACCTTGCTTCCCTCCCCTACCTCCAACCTAGGACCGCCTTGCCTTGACTGTGCACAGACCAAGCTTCGTGAACAGCCCCATCCCCCCACTGAGTCCATCTCAACTGCACCTCTCGATCGCGTGCACATGGACCTATGAGGTCAAGCTCTTGTTCGTTCTCGTGGCGGACACTTCTTTTTCGTTGTCATCATTGATGACTATTCCCACTATGTGTCTGTCCACCTTCTCACCTCCAAGTCAGAAGTCCCAGCCGTCATCATGAACTGGGCCCGGCAGGCTCATAACCACCTCAAAACTACAATCAAGGTTCTTCACTCTGACGTTGGCGGTGAATTCCGCAACAACACTCTCAAAACTTTTTGCTCTACAGAGGGTATCCTTCCGACCTTCTCTCTCCCAGACAGTCCTCAACAGAACGGTGTTGCTGAGAGCCGGAACCGCATCTTGGTGCAGATTGCTCGCTGCCTCCTCACTCACGCCTACGCCCCTCCCTTTCTCTAGGGGTACGCCATGCTCCATGCTGCCGCCCTCCACAATCTTCATCCTCATCCTCACCACACCCACACCACCCCCGTTGAGCTGTGGACGGGTTAAAAGCCGTCCGTCCGCCCTTTGCGCGTATGGAAATTACACGTGATCGCACGGCCCGCACCATCACCCTCCCGCAAAAGTTTTACATCAACAACGTCCTGACGCGGTTCAAGATGCAGGAAGCCGCATCAATGCCTACCCCACTCTCTTTGTAGCACCAGCTCATTGCAGCCTCTGTTCCTTCACCTGAGCCCTGTGACGAGCCATACCCCGAGCTCGTTGGATCCCTCATGTACGCGACGATGTGCACTCGGCCAGACTTGGCCTACCCCGTCAGTGTACTGTCTCGCTACGTTGCACTTGGTCGCTTCACCCACCACCAGTGGTTTGCCGCCAAGCGGGTTCTTCGCTATCTCAAAGGCACACATGATTATGTGCTCACTCTTGGCGGATCTTCCCCTGTTCGCCTTGAGAGGTACAGTGACTCGTCATACGTTGATGTCCCCTTGGCAGCGGGGTTGTGAGTTGGCACTCCACTCGATCGTCCTCAGTCTCACTGTCGACCTGTGAGGCAGAGCTGTACGCCGGGACCATGGCTGCCCAGGAGGCCCGTTGACTCTCCTTCCTGTTGGCAGAACTCGGGTATCCTCAGCCAGCCCCAACGCTTTGGTGTGATAACGAGAGCACCATTCATCTCACCAATGACCCCGTTTTTCACGACCGCACCAAGCACATTGAGGTCCGTCACTACTTTTTTCGTGAGCTGGTGCAGCGCGAGCAGCGGAAGGCTGACCACATTGCCTCCGACTGCAACCTTGCTGACTTATTTACCAAGTCGCTTGTTCGCAAGGACCACTGTCGCCTCCTCTCGTCCATGGGTGTTGGGCCCCCCTGTGGCTGATATGTTGCACCCTAGGGGGTGTGTTAGAAATAGGCTGTCAACATTTTGTGGACTATATTCTATATCGAGTAAGTTATTTCTAGGTTGGGTGTAGTTTGTAATCCCAACCCCATCTTGTTGGGATTCCCTTGTAATCCTCCAAATCTGCCAACTCATCATTGGAGATTTGCCTAGGATTCACATCCCATCCTTTCCCTAGCTTTGCTCAAGCCAACCTAGTTTGTACTTATTGCCTAGTGACTTTCTTGCTATTCAATCAGTTCAACTTCAATTCTATCAACGTCCCCACCCCTCATCCCCATTTCAACCCCACTCTCCCCCTCCCACCTCGGCACCCTTCCACCCAAACCCCAGCCTGCCCACCTCCCGTCGAAAGTCATTGGTGAGCACTTTGGCGCGCTTCACAGCCCAGAGCGTGGAGGGGTCAGCAGGGTCCTCAGCACGGTACACGTCTCCGAACCCCCCGCTGCCGATCTTGTTGGCTTCCTCCCACATGCCCGTTGCCGCTGCCAGCACGTCCAGCCGGTACTGCCGACACACCGCCGGCCCCGCTGCTGCTTGTGCTGGCCCCGAGGGACCCTTGGAGCCACTCGCGCTGCCTGAATGAATGGTGAAGAGCGGAAAGGGCGAGGTGCCTGTTGAGTTAGCTCACTTGAAACATTACCAGTACTTTGCCAGATCCTAGACAGATCTAAAAAACACACCCACCCACAAGTAAACTTGTCCTGCCGCCTCAACTGAATGTTGAGGTGACTGAGAAACAGCCATATTCCTGACCTGAGGAGCAAAACCGTTAGGGAACCGACCACTGAGCTGACTCAAACCGACACTCTTGAGAAGTCTTGAAAGTCTCAACCTCTTACCCAAACGACACTTGTCTGACCAGTCAAACTTACCTGAGCAACCAGCACCACCAGCGGCTGCAGCGGAGGCAGTAGCAGCTGCAGCAGCGGCATCATTGTCAATCTGCGAGAACGGCTTTCCTGCCTTCCGCCTGCGGAAGAAGAGCAGCGGCAGCAGCAGCAGCAGCGCGAGCACGGAAACACCCGCCACGACAATCCCCGCAATGGCCCCCACTGATAGCCCCGAGGAGGAAGGTGGAGGCAGAGGAGGGGGCGATGGAACGAAGGGAGGTGAGGTAGGAGGGGAAGGAGGGGGTGGAGAGGGCTGAGGGGAAGGAGGAGGGGGCGTTGGTGAACGGGGGGGAGGTGACATGGGGGGAGCGGGTGGTGGGGGTGAAGGGAGTGGTGGTGGTGGGGAGATTGCTGGAGGGGGGCTGGCTGGTGGTGCTGGTGGTGGGAACTTGACCACATCTGCAACACAGTCAAGGGGAGGATGATGTTGGGAGGGAGGGAAGGAGGGATGGGGAGGGATGAAAGACTTGTAAGTTGATTCAAAATGCTCACTGATGGTGCTGGTGGGGGGTACTTGACCACATCTGCATTCCAGCCAAGGGGAGGAAGGTGTTGGGAGGGGAGAGAGGGTTGGGGAGGGATGAGAGGTGGGGTTTGATGAAAGAAAGGGAAGCTGGAAGCACAGTCGCAAAGGGACAGGGGAAGAGACGTGTGCAGACGGGAGATGCGAGATGGGAGATGGGAGATGGAAGATGGGAGATGCGTGATGGGAGATGGGAGATGGGGGACGGGAGATGCGAGATGCGAGATGGGAGATGGGAGATGGGAGAAGGGAGATGGGAGATGGGAGATGTGAGATGGGAGATGCGAGATGGGAGATGGGAGACGGGCGGTGGGAGATGGGAGATGGGAGACGGGAGATGGGAGATAGGAGATGGGAGATGGGGGATGGGGGATGGGAGATGGGAGATGAGAGATGGGAGATGGGAGGTGGGAGATGGGAGATGGGGGATGGGAGGTGGGAGATGGTGGACGGGGGATGGGAGGTGGGAGATGGGGGATGGGGGATGGGAGGTGGGAGATGGGGGATGGGGGATGGGAGGTGGGAGATGCAAGATCGGGGAGATGCGAGATGAGATGAGACCAGACATTGCACACAAACGAGCTGTGCTTCAGAAGGGACTCACTCTGCACGAAGCAGAAGATGCAGAAGTCGGAGCACTTGGTGCAGTACGGCACGATGATGCTGTTGCCCGTGGCTTCCATCGCTCCACACTGCACCTTCTCACTTGGTGGACACGTCACCAGCCCTGGAGGGACCTGCGGCGTGTACTCACTGCGAGGAGAGAGTGAGTGGGGGAGGAGGGGGAGGAGCAGAGGGGGGGGAGCAGAGGGGGGAGAGCAGAGGGGGATGAGCAGAGAGTGGGGAGCAGAGGGGGGAGAGCAGAGGGGGATGAGCAGAGGGGGATGGAACGGAGTGGGGAAACGAGAGGTGTCAGGCGGAACTGATTCTCAGAAGGAAGGGTGGAGAAGAGAAGGAGGCGAGAAAGGGAGAGGTGACAAGCGGAATAGCTGCGAGAAGAATAAGGTCCTGAGAAATGGAGAAGATGTTGCATACGAAAAGAGGGAAACGGAAGAGGGGCTGTGTGGGCGGGGGTTTTGAGGTGGAAGGAGTAAGGTGCACATTGGAGTATATTACTGGTACGACCGATAGAACGACGACAGAAAGGGAGAGAGAGAGAGAGACAAACGATGGCGCGCGGTGCGTACAGGAATTCGAGCTTGGTGAGGGCGATCATGGACGCAGGTAGGTAGCCGGTGAGCATGTTCTGAGACACATTGCTGCCGTGGCCCGTGGCGCATGCAGGGTGCATGCACACAGGGTGGATGCAGGGTGGATGTACAGCGAGCGAGTGGCACCACCACGAGCAGCATTGGCACCGTTGGCATGGTGGAGGAGGAGACGATGGGTGGGGCACGTCAACACACACACACGGCATTGTGGAAAAGGGGTGCGGGGAGTGGCGGATGAGATGGGAGGGAAAGCGAGAGCAAGGATGCAGAGTGAGCGAAAGACAAGCAGGCATACAGGCACGCGCAGTGAGGGCATGGGTGCAGCAGATGTTAGGCAAACAGGTGCCTGGTGAACACAAATGCATTCATAGAAAAAGGTAACTTCTGAGTCGACTCAAAAGGCACCTCATACAGGCATGTGCAGTGAGGGCATGGATGCAGCAGATGTAAGGCAAACAGGTGTGTGCTGAACGCAAATGCATTCATAGGGGAGGATCTTAAGAGCCGGGTTCCAGGGGTGGGCTGTGGTGGCGTTCCTTTGCTGTGATCTTACTCGTCTCTTCGGTTGGGCGGGGGCTGTGGTGGTGGCACTGACAAGGTGGTGAGGTTGACGAGGCTGCCTATGGTCGTTGGAATGGCTCCCGTCAACTTGTTGCTCGCTACACCACTGCCGTTGCAACGCATGCATCATACCCCATGCAACATGCTCCATGCAACATGCCCCGTGTCATCCGAAAAGCCAAGCCAGTATTGCAGGGACCACAGTAAAGAGGTGTGTCAGGGAACAGGACATAGCAGGACGTAGCGGGGAATCTAGGAGGAGGCAGAGGGGACGAGGAGAGGCAGCCAGGGGATGCAGTCCAGGGATGGCCACGGGGCGACGGGGCAGGAAATGGGCAATGGGCACAGGGGCACGGGGGATGCGATCATGTGAATGATGGTGGGCGCCTGGGAGCGCAGCGCCCGTGCACTGTGCATTGTGCACAGCACACGCCTGCCTGTGTGGGTCACACTCTGGACGTGTGCACTGCATTGCAGGTACGTGGATGTGCGTACGCATGTGCCTGTGCATGTATGTGCATGTGTAACAACGTATGCCTGTGCCCCCATCACATCACAACACCCCCATCACATCACAACACCCCCATCACATCACATCACCCCCATCACCCCCATCAACCCCATCGCCCCCATCGCCCCCATCGTCCCCCATCGCCCCCAACGCCCCCATCGCCCCCATCGCCCCCATCGCCCCCGTCGCCCCCGTCGCCCCCATCGCCCCCATCGCCCCCATCGCCCCCCATCTCCCCCATCGCCCCCATCGCCCCCATCACCCCCATCACCCCCATCACCCCCAGCACATCACATCGCATCACCCCCATCACATCACATCACCCCCATCACATCGCATCACCCCCATCACATCACATCACCCCCATCACCCCCCCCATCACCCCCATCACCCCCATCACCCCCATCACATCACATCACCCCCATCACATCACATCACCCCCATCACATCACATCACCCACATCACATCACATCACCCCTATCACCCCCATCACTTCCATCACCCCCATCACCCCCATCAACCCTATAACATCACATGCAGCGCAAGCATATGGGCATGGTGTGACTGACAAGTGGTTGAGAGACTGGAGCTGCCAAATGGCCCGTGGAATGGATCCCGTGAACTGGTTGTACTGAATGGCTCTGCTTCCGAGCAGATCAACCAACAGGACAGGGGTGCACACATGGATAGTGAGAAAGGGAGGTGCTGCTGTGCGGAGAGGGGTTTGGGACGCCTCAAAACAGCCAAACGTCACGGGGAATTGACCCTGTGAACTGGTTGTACTGAATGGCTCTGTGGGCCACAAGGGGTGCACGCATGGGCAGTGAGAGAGAGGGGGGAGGTGCTGTGCGCAGAAGGACGTGGGGCCAAAAGCATGTTGCTCGTCCTTGCTGCTAGCGATTCCGCCGGGAAGGCAGACTGACTCACACAGCGCCACACAGCGCCACACAGCGCCACACAGCGCCACACAGCGCCACACAGCGCCACACAGCGCCACACAGCGCCACACAGCGCCACACAGCGCCACACAGCGCCACACAGCGCCACACAGCGCCACACAGCGCCACACAGCGCCACACAGCGCCACACAGCGCCACACAGCGCCACACAGCGCCACACAGCGCCACACAGCGCCACACAGCGCCACACAGCGCCACACAGCGCCACACAGCGCCACACAGCGCCACACAGCGCCACACAGCGCCACACAGCGCCACACAGCGCCACACAGCGCCACACAGCGCCACACAGCGCCACACAGCGCCACACAGCGCCACACAGCGCCACACAGCGCCACACAGCGCCACACAGCGCCACACAGCGCCACACAGCGCCACACAGCGCCACACAGCGCCACACAGCGCCACACAGCGCCACACAGCGCCACACAGCGCCACACAGCGCCACACAGCGCCACACAGCGCCACACAGCGCCACACAGCGCCACACAGCGCCACACAGCGCCACACAGCAAGCGCCACACAGCGCCACACAGCGCCACACAGCGCCACACAGCGCCACACAGCGCCACACAGCGCCACACAGCGCCACACAGCGCCACACAGCGCCACACAGCGCCACACAGCGCCACACAGCGCCACACAGCGCCACACAGCGCCACACAGCGCCACACAGCGCCACACAGCGCCACACAGCGCCACACAGCGCCACACAGCGCCACACAGCGCCACACAGCGCCACACAGCGCCACACAGCGCCACACAGCGCCACACAGCGCCACACAGCGCCACACAGCGCCACACAGCGCCACACAGCGCCACACAGCGCCACACAGCGCCACACAGCGCCACACAGCGCCACACAGCGCCACACAGCGCCACACAGCGCCACACAGCGCCACACAGCGCCACACAGCGCCACACAGCGCCACACAGCGCCACACAGCGCCACACAGCGCCACACAGCGCCACACAGCGCCACACAGCGCCACACAGCGCCACACAGCGCCACACAGCGCCACACAGCGCCACACAGCGCCACACAGCGCCACACAGCGCCACACAGCGCCACACAGCGCCACACAGCGCCACACAGCGCCACACAGCGCCACACAGCGCCACACAGCGCCACACAGCGCCACACAGCGCCACACAGCGCCACACAGCGCCACACAGCGCCACACAGCGCCACACAGCGCCACACAGCGCCACACAGCGCCACACAGCGCCACACAGCGCCACACAGCGCCACACAGCGCCACACAGCGCCACACAGCGCCACACAGCGCCACACAGCGCCACACAGCGCCACACAGCGCCACACAGCGCCACACAGCGCCACACAGCGCCACACAGCGCCACACAGCGCCACACAGCGCCACACAGCGCCACACAGCGCCACACAGCGCCACACAGCGCCACACAGCGCCACACAGCGCCACACAGCGCCACACAGCGCCACACAGCGCCACACAGCGCCACACAGCGCCACACAGCGCCACACAGCGCCACACAGCGCCACACAGCGCCACACAGCGCCACACAGCGCCACACAGCGCCACACAGCGCCACACAGCGCCACACAGCGCCACACAGCGCCACACAGCGCCACCACAGCGCCACACAGCGCCACACAGCGCCACACAGCGCCACACAGCGCCACACAGCGCCACACAGCGCCACACAGCGCCACACAGCGCCACACAGCGCCACACAGCGCCACACAGCGCCACACAGCGCCACACAGCGCCACACAGCGCCACACACGCCCACACAGCGCCACACAGCGCCACACAGCGCCACACAGCGCCACACAGCGCCACACAGCGCCACACAGCGCCACACAGCGCCACACAGCGCCACACAGCGCCACACAGCGCCACACAGCGCCACACAGCGCCACACAGCGCCACACAGCGCCACACAGCGCCACACAGCGCCACACAGCGCCACACAGCGCCACACAGCGCCACACAGCGCCACACAGCGCCACACAGCGCCACACAGCGCCACACAGCGCCACACAGCGCCACACAGCGCCACACAGCGCCACACAGCGCCACACAGCGCCACACAGCGCCACACAGCGCCACACAGCGCCACACAGCGCCACACAGCGCCACACAGCGCCACACAGCGCCACACAGCGCCACACAGCGCCACACAGCGCCACACAGCGCCACACAGAGTGGCACAGCGTCACACAGCGCCACACAGAGTGGCACAGCGTCACACAGCGCCACACAGAGTGGCACAGCGTCACACAGCGTCACACAGCGCCACACAGAGTGGCACAGCGTTACACAGCGTCACACAGCGCCACACAGAGTGGCACAGCGTTACACAGCGTCACACAGCGCCACACAGAGTGGCACAGCGTTACACAGCGTCACACAGCGCCACACAGAGTGGCACAGTCTGACATGGCGCCAAAGAGTGTGACACAGTATGTAACACAGCATGGCTCACATGTATGGCAGCATGGTTGGCAGCATGAGTTTGAAGCATGGGTGGCAACGGGACTCACAGCTGCTGCAAGGCTGTAAGGCTAGTGAGAACATCCATAGTCCCATTCAACTGATTCTGCCACAGGTAGCTGCATGCGCGGGTGTGGGGATGAGTGAGACAGTAGTCAGGCAAACGGATGTGGGGGCACGGGAAAGGAGAAGGTGGGGAAGGGTTGGAGGTTAAGGAAGGAGGGGGGAGCGGTAAGCACGAGGAAAAGCAAAGTGTTGTTTACAAATTTGTTTTCGAAGGAGTAAAGGATGGGAGGATAGACTCGAAGCAACGCAGGATGAGGGAGGAGCAGCGAGGGAGGAGGCGTGAAGGGAGGAGCAGAGAGGGGAGGAGGCTTGAAGGGAGGAGCAGAGAGGGGAGGAGGCTTGAAGGGAGGAGCAGAGAGGGGAGGGGCAGAGGGAGGAGGGGCAGAGGAGGGAGGGGCAACGCACAGGCCTTGCAGATTGAGGAGGTTGGAGAAGGAAGCAGGTATGGAGCCGGTGAGCTTGTTGCCGCCCAGCTGACTGATGCACGTGGGGAGGGAGCGAGGAGTACCAGAAGCCGGTAGTGAAAGGAGAAGGTGTGGAGGAGAAGTAGGTGGAGTGATTAGGGGTGCAAGCAGGTGGAGTGATGAGGGGTGCAAGCAGGTGGAGTGATGAGGGGTGCAAGCAGGTGGAGTGATGAGGGGTGCAAGCAGGTGGAGTGATGAGGGGTGCAAGCAGGTGGAGTGATGAGGGGTGCAAGCAGGTGGAGTGATGAGGGGTGCAAGCAGGTGGAGTGATGAGGGGTGCAAGCAGGTGGAGGGACTTCAGGACAGACTGCTTTGTGTGTTTGCCCGAGAGATTGACTGAGACTGACGAGAACTGGGAAAGGAAAGCTGGCAGGAGATGGCGTGGAGCGGAGCAACGGAGAAGGACGGAAGCTCGGAGTGACGAGAGAAGAGGGAAGCGTTACAGCGCATGGGAGAAAAGGGAGAATCATGGGAAATAACTGCAAGGCAATGGAACTGGTCTTCCTTGGCGAGCTGCTGGCTGGCGTATATATATGACTGACGCTGAGGGGCCATGAGGTGACCCAGACCCAGACCCAGACTGAGGTGATTTTTGAGTCAACTTGACAGACAGTCACTTCTGGCGCTGCTGGCTTACATGATGGTGAGGTGGCTGAGGCTACCCAGAGTGGCAGGGATGCTGCCTTGGAGGGCGTTCTCCCGCGCATAGCTGGTGGGGCCATGGGTGGGGTGATGGGCGGGGCGATGGGTGGGGGGTGAAGAAACGAGGGAATAGTAGGGGGTTGGTTGAGTCATGCATGTGTAGGGTTGGTTGAGTCATGCATGTGTAGGGTTGGTTGAGTCATGCATGTGTAGGGTTGGTTGAGTCATGCATGTGTAGGGTTGGTTGAGTCATGCATGTGTAGGGTTGGTTGAGTCATGCATGTGTAGGGTTGAGTTGAGTCATGCATGTGTAGGGTTGAGTTGAGTCATGCATGTGTAGGGTTGAGTTGAGTCATGCATGTGTAGGGTTGAGTTGAGTGCCGGGTAATGAGTGCTGTATCCTCCGTGTTGCGTATTGTGTGGAGAGTATTTCGGAATTCGTGTTGTGTGAAGACAACTCAAAGCCTTGGGGGCTGGCTGCATGGTACGCAGTCCCATGCTGCGGGCATGCAATTCATCATGCTGCTGCTGTCTGTGTGCTGTGTGCTGTGTGCTGCCTCCATTGACTCACAGCGCCTGCAGATACTTCAAGTTGCCCAGACTCGAGTGCAGCTCGCCTGTAAGACCCATGTTGCCTGCCTCCCTGCCATGCCACAGACGCCATGCCACACGCCAGCCATGCCACACGCCATGCCACACACCATGCCACACGCCATGCCACACGCCATGCCACACGCCATGCCACCCACACGCCATGCCACACACCATGCCACATGCCACATGAATGCCCGCACGGCAGGGTATATTGGGAGATGCGTGCCACATGGAGCGGTTGGGACATGGGTGCTCCAAAGAGGTGGTGACGCGAGGGCACAGAGGCAGGGGCAGCGTGTGAAAGGAAACAAGTTCACACGGACGGAGGACGGCACATGCAAAAGGAAACATGGCACACGGACGCATGGGCGCATGGGCACATGGGCACATGGGCGCATGGGCGCATGGGCGCATGGGCGCATGGGCACATGGGCGCATGGGCGCATGGGCGCATGGGCGCATGGGCACATGGGCGCATGGCATGGAGCACGGGCACATGCAGATGGAGCAAGCAGAGGGGCGGCTCACAGGTACTCCAGGTTGGACAGGGTACCGAACTGTGAGGGGAACGACCCCGTGAAGTAGTTGCGCCCTACCTCCCTGCTCATGCACGCATGGGGGGATGTGCAGGGCGTGGAGGGTATTAATGAGGATTTTTCAAAAGATACTTACTGTGAGGGGAACGACCCCGTGAAGTGATTGCGCCCTACTCTCATCTAATGCCACGGAGGGGTAAGGGGGACGGCATGCCATCATGATCCCTCTCTTCCAATGGTCTTAACACTCCCTCCCTCACCCCCCTCCGCATTCTCCACACCCCTTCAGCTAGTAAGCGACCTGCACTCCTTAGCCTACTTAGGTCGCACTACAGATGTTGGTTGCACCCTAACCATGCAGGCATATGCATCACGGGTGCATGAATGGGTGCATGGGTGCATGCATGGGTGCATGGGTGCATGCATGGGTGCGTGCATGGGTGCGTGCATGGGTGCGTGCATGGGTGCATGCATGGGTGCATGCATGAATGACATACAGCACGGTGAGGGCCTTGAGCCCATAGATGGAAGGGGGAATGGAACCCGAGAACGAGTTGTTGTACAGGCTCCTGATAGGAGACACCCAGAAACACACAGATAGAGGGAAACAGGGACGCAGGTGCATGCGGGCCCATGCCAGTGCATGTTGGTGCATGCGAGTTCATGAGGTTGGATGTGGGTGCAAGTGGGTGCATGGAAGGGCAGTGCGAAAGGCAGGAGCAACAGAGAGAGGGACCTGAGGCGAGACAAGGTTCTCTTCGGTGTGTGCTGGCAGGCGCAAGCTGCATCCATGCATCCATGCATCCATGCATGCTTTATTCCATGCACGCATGCGACTGACAGCTGTTCGAGGTTGGAGAGCGCGGAGATGGTGCTGGGAATAACGCCACCCAGTCGGTTCTGAGACACCGACCTGCCATGTGTGGGGGGCGAGGGCGGGGAGGTGGGAGTAGAAGTGTGGGAGTGGCGAAATGAGGGTGGTGAGAGCGTGAGAGGGGTGGTGGCTGGCGAGGGTGATGGAGGTAAAAGAAGGGCACGGGTGAAGGGATAGAGTTGCGGAAAGTGTGAGCGAAGCAATTAGAGAGGCAGATGAGGGCAATGAAGCGCGGGCATACAGGTAAGTGAGCAGCGAGAGCTTCCCAATAGCGGCAGGCAAACCTCCTGAGAAGTTGTTGGCGGAGATATCACTGCCGTGACGAGACCATCACATGGAGAGAGCGCAAGGGAGGAAAGCATGGTTGGGGCGAGTTGGATTTTGACTGCATGCTGGCCGGCCTGTGGTATGGTGCTTGCATGCCTTGAAGGGGTAGGTGATAGAGCGAGGAAGCACAAGAGACATAGGAGTTGTACGTTGGTTGGGGTTTCGCTCTTGTGGCCAGTGGATGAGGTGCAGCTTGGTGTGGTGTGGCGTGGTGTGGTGTGTTGTGGTGTGGTGTGGTGTGCTGTGGTGTGGTGTGCTGTGGTGTGCTGTGCTGTGCTGTGCTGTGCTGTGCTGTGCTGTGCTGTGCTGTGCTGTGCTGTGCTGTGCTGTGCTGTGCTGTGCTGTGCTGTGCTGTGCTGTGCTGTGCTGTGCTTTGGTAAGGTAGCTCACAGGTATTGGAGTGAGAGAAGGTTGCCGATAGTGTCTGGAATGGAACCACTCAGAATGTTGTTGTAGAAGCCGCTGTTGGGTTCGTGCACGCACACACGGACGCAAGCACGCATGCATGGATGCACGCATGCACACATGCGCATACACACGCGCGCGCGCACACGCACACACGCACACGACCACACGCACACGCACACGCCCACGCGCGCGCGCACACACACACACACAGCTGAGCATGCACAGGCACGCGCCTGTTGCCACGCACGTGAATGCAGCGAGCAAGACTGCTCAACGCAGCACCTATGCGCGAACGTTTAAAAAAATCTCAGAGCTGACGCAGACACAAGCTGCATGAATCAACGTGCATGCTCACAGCTTGGAGAGTCGTGTGGCATCTCCCACGGATGCTGGCAGGAACCCTGTGAGCGACTGGGATAAGAGGCCCCTGGCAGCCGTGCAGGGGAGGAGGTGTGGAAGGGGAGGGACGAGAGGGGGAGGCGACCACAGAGAGGCACGTGTCAGTCATACAGGGAGTGACCACAGGTGATACAGGCGAACCCTTTGAGTGACTGCGATATGAGAGGCCCCTGGCGGCCGTGCAGGGGTGGGCGGAGGTGTGGAGTGGGGGATGAGAGGAGGAAGGAGGGAGCGGGTGGGAGGATGAGGGATAAAATAATGAAAGGGCGCGGGCGCGAAAGAATGGTGGAGTTGGATGCTACCATGACCATGACCATGACCATGACCACGCCACGCCACGCCACGCCACGCCACGCAATGCACACCATGCTATGCCAATGCTATGCCATGCCATGCCATGCCATGTGCTCACATAGTGGTGAGCATGCCGTCCTGGTCGCATGTGACGAACACGGCCTCGCTGCAGTTGGAGGTCGCATCCCATCCGCTTAGACTGCGCTTCCATGCCGCCTGGCACTCCGTTAAAAACGGTACTGCCGGGGGAGACGAGGGGAAGAGGGACGCGGGGGACGGAGAGTTGGGGGGGGTGGGGTGGGAGGATGGGGGCGGGAGAAACGGGGAGAACGGGAAATCAGGGTGGGGTTGGGTTGGGTGAGAGAGGGAGGACGGGGAGAGAGTGTAGCTGGGGAATGGAAGCGGGAGAGGGGGAGGTAAAAGAATTGCCGGGTATAAGTGCATTCCAGGATGAAGGTGGGCTGTGGAGGCCTTACTTCCAAAGTCAGCAGTCAGCAGTCAGCAGTCAGCAGTCCAATAAATATAATTCCATAGCATGGGCTGCGGAGGCCGGGTATAATAATACGGCGCAATGATTGCGTTCCATTATCCCGCACCACATGGTAGTAGCACACCGGCCTAGGAAGCGCGTGTGATGTTCACTGCTACCCCGGCCGGACTAGAACCCAACAACGACTAAGGCGCGCACGAGGAAACGCGGCCTGGCGCACCCACGCTGCGACTTGGCCCAGAGCTGAGAGCGCGCTACTAGTAGTAGTGGCGGCAATGGGGAGAGCAAAAATGCGGGCGACAGAATCAGCGTGGCAGCTTTTGGGGCGCCTCAAGAGTCACTCACGCTGCGACTTGGCCCAGAGCTGCGCGCGCGCGAGTGGCGGGGAGCGCACACATGCTGGTGAGAGAACCAGCGCGGCGACGACGGCGGAGAGCAGGCGGAGATGGTTGAGCGGAACCATCCGCGGCTGGCGCGGCATGGGCGGAGGCGGCGTCGGAGGAGGAGGCAGCCTGGTGATATCACGCCGAATGATGGTACAAACGAAAGCGTACAAAACGTTACGTTTCTAATTCTAGTACTGCACGTGGGTGGAATATCGTTGCTCGGCGCGCAGCGGGTGCACTTGGGCGCTACTAGCGGGGGAGGCTACGACGGAAGTGAGTCCGTGAGTCCGTCAGTCCGCGTGCAGGCGCGCACACCCCTGTCAGGCCAACCAGGAATCTTGGGTTAGTCTAGGGGCTGGGCTAACCGAAGTCAATGCATACTTTGTGGACGACCTGTTGCCTTTTTACGAGTTTTGGTTGTTACCAGTGCAGAATCCAGGGAGGTCGTTTTATCGAAGGGAACGCTGGGTGCTGAAGGCGTGTTCACGCCTCCCGTTTCTTCGGCTCCCGATTGCGCTCCAAATCTTATGAGAATTGCTCCAATGCCTTGTGTGTCCCCGAATTGCTAGAGTGGCCATGCCAGGGCATTTTCGAGGTGTTTTTTTTCCCTGGCACATAACCCTTCAAGGGCTCGTACCCCTGAAATTCCTCGTTCGCACAATAGTAGATGCGCGGTCATTTTCGGCCCAATACGCGACCAATGAGCGCGTGGGCAATTACATCAGCGATCATAAAGGTTTGGGAGTACAAGTATGAAACCCTAAAGTATTGTACCCCCTAAAGGCTAACCCACTGTAGCCTACACAGTAATAATATATATAATGTTTGACACACCCCCATAGGCTAAGTGGGGGAGAGCAAGGGGTCACAAGACCAGTCAAGAAAGACAAAACAAGCTCAGGGTGGATCACAACGTCACCACACTCTCTGAGCACAAGCAAAGAGCCACAAGGCCAGTTCACATGCAGAGGCATATATGCAATGCAAACAACACAGTGATATACACCTAGCAAAGCAAGCATGCAGGTATATATATATACATATATATGTATATATATATATATATATGGATCACAGTACAGGCAAGTCTACAGCAAGTGAGGAAAGGTGGGCACAAGCCCTAACATAGTGCAGAAACGCTGATGATCACCAGACTGAAGTGCCTTGGTGAATATATCAGCAGTGTTGGCCTGAGTGGCCACGTAACGCAGACGAAGCTGACCACGCTGCTGCAACTCTCGAGCCAGGAAGTAACGCAGAGCAATGTGCTTCGTTCTGTGCTCCAGTCTGTGCTCCTCACACAAGGCAATGGCAGCCTTGTTGTCGACGTACAGCACTGGAGGAGAACAAGGCCGCTCTCCCAGGTCAGTCAGCAGGTAGGTGAGCCAGCGCAACTCCTGTGCAGCCATGGCTGTGGCGTAGATCTCAGCCTCACAACTGGAGCTGAGAACTGAAGACGAGCGAGTAGAACGCCAAGAAACCGAACCAGAGCCAAGGCTGAAGGTGTAACCCTGTGACGACCGCTGAGTAGCCTGGTCGTCAACCCAAGAAGCGTCTGAGTGCCCAGTAAGAACAACTGAGCTCCTCCCTCCAAGCACCAGCCCCATGCCTGATGTACTACACAAGTAGTGCAGTACCCTCTTAGCAGCAGCCATGTGCTCAGGTCGGTGCCGACCAGGAGCCACGTAGCGAGCCAGAAGACCAAGAGAGTACGCGAGGTCAGGACGAGTGCAAGTCATCAGGTACATGAGGCAACCAACTAGCTCTGGGTAAGGACCACTCGGCTCTACGGACTCGTCCGAAGGTGGAGCTGAGAGCGAGTAACCTGTAGCCAGAGGAGTGGCCTGTGCCGAAGATCAGGTGAAGCCGAAGCGCTGAAGGACCTACTGTACCATGTGTGACTGAGTCAGGGTGATGGTGCGGCGTGCTCTGTCCCGGGTGATCCGCAAGCCAAGATAGCTTGTCAGCTCACCCAGGTCTGTGCACGTGTGTCTCTTCTGCAGCTCCGACTTCACGTGGGCGAGAGCCTCATTGTCAGCAGTGGCAAAGACCAAGTCGTCGACGTACACGAGGATGTAGAACGGCGGCAGTGTAGTGTCGGTGCGCAGAAACAGCGACGGGTCAGCAGTAGAAGGCGCGAACCCAAGAGCCGTGTAGTCCTCAGTGTGTCGTGCCACTCACGTGGCGCCTGGCGGAGACCGTAGACTGGCTGCCGGAGGCTCCACTTGGTACCAGGAGGAAACGACCCAGTGAAGCCAGGTGGGCGGCGCAGCCAGATCTCCTCGTGCAGGCTGCCCTGCAAGAAAGCTGTGCTGAAGTCAAGAGAGTGAAGCTCGTAGTCACGCTGAGCGGCAACGTGCAGCAGCACCCAAAGAGTGGTCATCTTCGGGGTAGGGGAGAAGGTCTGGAAGAAGTCTACTCCCTCTCGCTGACTGAAGCCTCGAGCAACGTAACGAGCCTTGAAGACAGGCGGAGAACCTGGCGGCCGCTTCACCCTGAAAATCCACATGCCACTGACGATGTCGTCGACGTAAGTGCCAGTGGACTTCCAGGATGCCATCTCTGCGTCCATGGCTGTCTGCCACTGAGAGGAGTACTCACCCGCGATCGCCTCAGCGTAAGAGCGCGGGGTCGGGATGTCTGGAGCATCCAGGTCTCCCTCAGGGGCAAGCAGCATGGCCGCAAGATCAGGTACAGCAGCAGCAAAGCACTCAAACTCCTCCTGTCTGTCCTCAAGGACGTCCGTGCCAAGAGCACACTCACCCCCGACGGACGGAGGACAGACAGACTCAGACTCAGCATCAAGACTGGCAGCGTAGTCTAGACGACAGTGGGCAGCAAAGGCGACAAGCTCAGCAACTAAGGCAGACGCAGTAGCTGACTCAAAGGAAGGGTCAGTGACAGCAGTGGCCAGGAGACGCGTGACAGTAGGACTAGCAGCACGAAGGGAGTCAGACTCCGGGTCAGCGAGGGCAGGAAGAGAACACGCAGGAGGAGACGGCAGAGGGACACGCTGTGGAGCAGTGGAAGGACGCAGAGTCATATAGTGTGTGCCAGGGACAGGTGGAGGACGCTGACGCGGAACACGGCGACCAGTACGAGCAGCACGAACAGGTGACGCAGGACGAGACTCAGGCGACACCGGACGAGACTCGGGCTCACGACGCTCCGTAAGACCGCCTGTCGGACCAGTGTAGGGAGAGGGACCAGGGAGTGGGGAGGCAGGCGGTAGCTGTGACTGCGACTGGACAGACGGAGGACACTCTAAGGAGGTAGGAGGACCAGGAGGAGGCGGCTGACCAAGAACCCGCTGAAGGAGCGGAACGAAGTACGGCCGCGGCCGAGAAGTGCCCCCAGAACCAGCAGAAACAGCACCAAAACCTCCAGCCGGACCAGCACCAGCAGTACCTCCAGCAGCTCCAGGACTTCCAGCAGCACCAACAGCACCTCCAGCAGGACCAGCACCAGCAGCACCAGCAGCACCTTAAGCAGCACCAGCACCAGCAGCACCAGCAGCACCTCCAGTAGCTCCAGGACCTCCAGCAGCACCAGCAGCACCTCCAGCAGCTCCAGGACCTCCAGTAGCAGCAAGGCCTCCAGCGGGCGGCACCTCAACACCAGGAGCTCCACTCCGGAGGCTGCAGCGCCGAGCGTACCACTCACGGAGCCGCTGAGGGGAGGGAGGCTCCGGCTGCAACACTGCACCCGCAGGGCCACCAGCCCCAACTCCAGTAGACCCCCCAGCTCCAGCAGCCCCACGACGGAGGCTGTAACTCTGGGAGTACCACTCACGCAGCTGCTGTGAAGAGGGAGCGCCACCAGGCGCAGTACGGTCAGTCTCAGAGCCCCCAGTCTCAGCTCCTCGAGGCTTAGCACCCCCAGTCGCAGCACCCCCAGGCTCAGCACCCCCAGTCTCAGTACCCCCAGGCTCAGCTCCCCCAGTCTCCGCACCTCCAGTCTCAGCACCCCCAGTCTCCGCACCCCCAGGCTCAGCACCCCCAGACTCAGTACCCTCAGCACCTCGCGCAGGACCAGAGTCAACAGCGATCTCGACAGGCTCGACCGGGTCTACCTGGGAAACACCTGAGGGAGCAGCACCCTGGGGAGGGAGGGGGTCTACCGACGGGACACCTGGGGTGAGGAAGAGCGGCGGGGGAGGGAGCGGGGCAGTGCGGTAGGGGAAGAGACGGTAAAAGGGTACCGACTCGTCAAAGGTGACGTCCTGAGAGGGGAAGACACGGCGCGAGGTGGGGTGG